TTACCAGAAGACCATGGCATCCATTTAAGTACACTGGCCTTTGTGGCTTAAGGGGAACACTATTGGTTTTAGTCTTGCTTAATCTGATGATCATACTTCCAATTATATTGGGGGAACGAACTCAGGCATCCAGAAATCCAGTTAGTGTAAATAGGACTATTGTATAATATAATTAGTTAGGGTTTTTATTATATAGCGTACATAAGTTTATATATTTTAATCTCACAGTTGTGTTTATGTTATGTAGTTACATATCACCCTATGTGTGCACTGAATCACTGGTCAGTATTTACTGTGTTAGCCAACTGGGGTACTGTTTAACATCAAGGGAGACTGGTTCACTAAAACCATTGAATCTCATTAGATTTACAGTTTAGCAAAGAGGGTCCACAGTTACTTTATTACCACCACCTGGCTAATGGGCCAGGGGAGCTATAGTTTATTGGGATTCCTAGAATATTTGGAACAGAGATTAGATCTGAGCCAGGAAGAGGAAGCAACTTCAAAGGCAGGGCAACACAGACACACCAAGGCAGAGCAGTTTTATTGGAACAGGAAAGCAATGTCTAACATCTAGCAGTTGGAAGCAAAGATAGAAGCAAGTGTCTATGTAGGAGTTAAGACAGGGTAAGTATTCCTCCCTTTTTAGGGTGCTGTCCACAACCACTGGAGCAGAGAGGATGATTGGAGGATGGACAAACTGAAGGACCAATCTTGGGAGAGTTAAGTTTAAACCACAACTGCTCCCCAACAGTTTTGGACCAATCAGAGAGTAACATCTTTTCATACATATATTGTTTACCGCCAAGTTGGAGTCAGTCTTTTCTGTTTTTCCTAAACAGTCAAGATCCATGTGCACATGCTTATTTTGATACGTTCATGCATAATAAATTTCACATAGTGAAATATATAACTTTTTATTAGTCTTCTCTTTTCAAAATGAAAAAACTTTTTCTCACAGGAGGCAGAAAACACATGAACACAAGCACTAGTACAATCACTTTACATGGCTTTGATGAATACAGCAGAAGTTAACAGTCTTAAAACTACATATCAGACAAAGAACGCAGATATAAAATGTTCCTCCATGACGTGCAACGTACCACCCATGTACAGGGCAGTCCCAGCCCGAGAAAATAAATGTGAATGATTTGTGATTATCGGGGCTCTTGGAGACTTGTCATCTCTCAGAGCCCAGCGCTGTAATAACTCTGCATTTAACCAGAAGAAAATACATCTACTTAAAGCTGATTCCTGTTTCCTGAGTGTTACATCTTGGGGCCTTCAGACAAAAGAACCGGGCAGAATTAAAAAGAACACTTCTCAACACCCCATACTACACAGAAACGTCAACCGAGACGTCTCTGTTGCCAGCTTTGCAGCTGGCCATAGCAGTAGTCAAAACATGAAGCAAATCAATGTGTGTGTGTGTCTGTTGGTTAATAATTCAGTTTAGGCATTATGTACCTTTCTCTGAGGCTTTTTCCACAACCAATGTAAAAAACAATTAAACAATATCTTTATAAACCTGTTATATTATAAACCAAGGGTTAATAGCAAGATCCAAATACCATGCAGATTACTATAGACTTTATTTAAAAAAACCTTTACCATTGCATGCAGCACAGAGCCAAGCCAAACTGAAAAGACCTTGATTATAAACAGCGACTGACTTTGACAGTATCACATGAATTAAAAACAATACACGGTGATGTCACTCTACAGATTTATATATCTCCTGGCAATTACAGTAAATGTGAGGGCTCACTGATCTTCAAACCAGAGTGTCATGGTATGCGATCTTGGACAACAGGCACGAGACTAGTCTTGTTTTAATCACATTTGTTCATCCTGAGAATTTGTAAAAAAATCCTGAGGCTTAAACTTAAACAGCATATGATGAGAAATGAATGTAGGGCAATGTGAGGGATTCTACAGCTGATCCATATAATGTTAACTGTAATGACCTTATGGGCACCAAATGAGTGTTTATTAGTATTTAACACAATGAAGTCAAAGTATGTAATGAATGCACCACTTGCACAACTTATTTTTAAGCCATATTTTTTTAAACTCCACTCATTTCATCATTTATTTATGTTTCAACACAGAGACATACGACAGAATAATATAGTATATGATGATTATGTTAAAGCTTGGGCATAAAAAAAATTCCATGTGATTAAAATATCTTCAATAAGGAAAAAAAAAGAGTGGCCCTGTGTGGCCCCAGAAGGAGCATAACTCTTTATATATGTGGGAAATAGTGGCCCACTGTTTATAAGACACAATAAGGAATAATAAAAATTCTGTAATAATAACAATAATAAGTATTATTATTATTTAAATGATAGGCCCTTGCCTGACACTTTATATCAAACACAACTCTGACATTTTTACAGAAGTAAATGCATTAATGCACCTTAACCTGATTACTAGACATCTTTAATATCACATGAAGCTCTCTATTTGTGATCATCTTTCTCACAATTTCCAAATTTCACTTAAAATGTATCCCTAAATATAGACATAGCATTCACCCACAGAACATTGTTGACACATATGGACTCAGAAATTCATTCACACACAAACAATGTACACTACACTGCAGAGCACAAAAGCTTCACACCAGTTCAGCCAAACCAAATTTTACATACAGAAGACACAGAAATGGCAAAGAGATTAGAGACAAGTCTGCAGTGGGCTGAGTGTATGAGGAGGCCAATGCATAAATGGTACAAGATGAAAGCTAGGTCAATGAGAGGAGAAACTGTAGAAAGAAAATGATACAGTATATCTGGAACCCACATTATTTCCTTTTATGCACATTTTACCATGTGTAGATGGGTAATAAGTTATTTTCACATAATCTACATGAATTTGCAACATCAAAAATCAGCCCAATGATGGGCACTGCTTACTAGACTGGATAACCTGACTGCAGACAGAAATACATGTACATTTGACTGCTACGTGAGCTGTGAAATCACTGTTCATTCTTTTATGATAGCTTACATCTGCAACATGAAACTCCTTAGTCATTTAGGAATCTGAGTGGAAAGCCCTATCCAGCCTTTTGGTCAATGTCTGAGCTCCTGCAGAAGCTCAAAAGTCAGCTGTGTGATGTGCTGCCATGCTTTTTGGATGTGGCGTGACTCTGTAGTACGAGCACAGATGGCGAAGCGCAGGACAAAGCGGCCTGAAAGCTGGCAAGGTACCAGGTGGATCTGCTTGCTATTGGTGATCTTTGTCAGCAGGTTCTGGTTCAGCTCATTGGGGCCCTCAGAGGAGGAAGCAAGAAAAAGATAAGTTCTTTTTATTTTGAACAGATAGGCTTTTGTTCTGCTTACTAGTTTCTCATGTTACTGGGGTGAAGTTCTGGCCATGATGCATTTTATAATGTCTGCTACAGTAACTGGCATCGACAGGGAGCTCTACTGTATATTCACTCAGAACTGTATTGTTGTCAGTGTTCAGCATTCAGCTGCTTGTTGCATAATCATATCATGACTTTTAAGTAAATTCTAAGTAACTGCCTTTGGGTTGATTAAACTAACTTACACTATCCATTTCACATGCATCTCATCACATGCAAAAACAAGCTAATACTTTTTGTAACCCTCATTTTTTGTTTTAGAGTCTGATGAAGTTTTTTTTTTTATAGAGAGTTTTAAAATTCTGCTTACCGTACTTTAAAATCAGTCCAATCCTAAAATACTGCATAATATCATAAGCCATGCCACCAAGGCTCCCAAAATCACATTTATCAATTGCTCACATGCAAATGTTACATCATATGAAAACTTGGGAAGGTTTGTCTTTAGCAAATTATTTTACTGACTGCTCCTCTGTTGGTCCACTCATACTGTCCATGCCAATCACAGACCTAACACTCTGTGTCACTTCTGCTGCATCACTGTTTTAAACTTTAGACAAAAGAAAAACCATTCCTTCTCTCCCTTGAACATTGTCCTTTTCCATTTTTTAAAGGGATTTTTTTTTTTAATTACTATTACAGTGGGGTAAGGCAATCTGGAAAAAGGATCACAGTGGATATGTTAGATGTTGTTACCTTAAGCCTGAAGCAAACCAGTCCCATAATGACTTCAGCACAGATCTCAAACCGCTTGTCTGCTCGCACCAGACTCTCAAATTCTTTGGCCAGGGCCACTTGCTGCAAAGCGAAGACAGAGAATATATTGTGACTCATGTGCAATATGCTAGAGTATTGATACTGACACTGATACACTGATATCCATGTATATAATGTAGTTTTGCACTTAATATTGTTCTGATTTGTCTGCAAAAATCTTCTTTTATTCAATCTGTTATTAATTGTGAATAATGTTAAATAAACACCATAGTAAATTTAACACAAAAATTTAAAAGGTAAAGGGCACAATTAATGAGTATAATGAGTTATATAGTGCAACAGAGCATTTGCTGGGAAAACTCCGAACATTTCAGAGGCAAGCTGTAGTTTCTGTGATGTTCACTGGATGGCAGTGCTGTGCCATTACATGGTGCGCTGCTTTCAGCCAGAGAACTTTCTTTTCAGAGGTCGGTCTGTAGCTCTGTATTAAAACCCATTTACTTTACTTTGCAGAATGTAACCCTTTATGGTAGGTAGGTAGGTAGGTACTTTATTGATCCCTCAATGGGGAAATTTCTGTGTTTCAGCAGCAATGGAGAACAAACAACATAACACCGTGAGAAACAAACACCACACACATATCTTGATAAACAAATTTCAGTACCTCAATCAGCAATAGAGAACAGACAGCATGACACCGTGAGAACAAGCACCGCACACACATCCTGATAAATAAATTCCAAGTACTCAAAAATACACATAATCAAGTATTTGAATAATCAGAACAGAATTTACATATGTGCATATTAACCATGCATTTTACCCCAGGATTTGAGTATTGCACCTCATTTGACTATTACATAGTCCCTCATACTTTCACCTAGCTTATCCCTGCAGTGATGTATTGTACAGTCTGATAGCTGAGGGGAGGAACGACCTAGGGTAATGCTCCTTCTTACACTGGGGATTTAACAGTCTTGCACTAAAGGAACTGTTCAGAGCCTCTACTGTGTGGTGCAGGAGAGGTGGTTACTTTACTGTGCTTAATATTACTAACTGATAACAAACACATTACATGCTGAGTACACATCTTGGGAGGAGGCGGTACCTGGGAGCCTCAATTCAAATATGCTCAAAATCAGGACTCATTATCCATTAAATATCAAAATCTGCTCTCGGGAAATGTCATTGCACCTTGACCATAATCACCTTCCTACAACATAACTGATCCTCTTATGATCTAAAAGGTCACTGAGACATAATCTGACTGTATAATTTAGCTGCAAAGGACCAAAAAAAGGGTTTAATCTAAAAGACAACTGTACAGTGGAGTAATATATAATGGGTTTTAGCTGCAGGGATCAACGCTGCTTCTTCTGCTTAATTTAAAACAGAGAGTAAACACAAAACAGGCTCATTTGATTGACAGACCAGACTGGAGGGAGAAAGAGGAAGACTGAGGGAAAGACAGGCAAGAAGAAAAGGCACTGGGGAAAGGGAAAGGAAGGTAAAATGTTGCTGAGAAGACAAAGATGAGACATATGACTGAGAAAATATAGTATGCTGATGGAGAGAAAGCTGAGGAGGGAGGGCTCTGAAGGGAATTTAGCAGTAAGGAGGATTAGGAGGGGTGAGGTATGGGAAGGAGGAAGTGGGTGGCATTTGCCACAAAGACCAGGCATGTGTAATTATCAGAAATGGTTTTTTTTCCAGGTGTGACAGGGTAGTAATGCGACAACGAAAGGAAGAGTGATGAGACAGAATATTAGAAGAGAAAATGTGAAGCCAGTCTGCTCACTACTGTTAGCACTGTGCTAATATTTTAGCCATTTGTAATGAAGAAAGGATTAATTTACTAACACCAGGACACACTAGGATCATATTACCAATGCCCAGTGGTTATTCACTGCTGATAACACAAATTTTAGCACTTTACTAGTTATGACTTTTAGCACAAAATGAAACATTGTACTTCTGCAAAAAATGAACTTTGTAAGGTATCATTTAAACCACTGTATTGCAAACTCAGTATTTTTGAGTAAACTGTATTGCAAACTCAGTATTTTTGAGAAATACAGTATTTACTTAAATTGCATATGAAGAAATACATTCCAGTGGTACTTAGTTCACTATACACATTCTGTTTAAATGTATGCCTGTCAGTGTTGTACTCAGACAATATTACTGGCATTTTGTGTGTTTTTAGAGAAGGTGACTTTAAAGCCTTATCATTTGATAACCTGTGAAACCACATGTTAATGAATTTGGATTTTAACTAAGCGTGCCACCATCGACACTGTAGGTGTTTAATATCTCAGAATACCCTTCATATATCCAGGCAAAAACATACTGTACTGTTTATGTGGATGTTGGCTGTGGTGGATCATCCAGCTGGTTGCCTACCTTGCGTATATGAGCCTGTAGGCCTTTGATCCCATACATACGGAAGACAAACCACAGCTTCAGTGAGCGAAATCTTCTTCCCAGTGGAATCTGCCAGTGCTGCAGGACAAGAGGAGGAGAACAGGACAGTGGCTGTCCTGTAGCTACTAGGTCTGAATCCATATTGATGTTGACTGGGTTACTCGATGTCTTACACCTTGTAAAAACTAAATAAATAATAATTAATCTTACCCTATAATCTGTGACCAGCCCTGTTGAAACAAAAACAAATGGTGATGATACAATAATGTCCATTACAAGGTAATAGTCAACTAATAACATACATTGTTAATGTATTTTTAAAAGCTAATCAAGAGTCATTAGGCCTTATGTAAGTGAAGCCAAATGCCAGTGGAACAACTTCCAGTGTGCCTTGTCATCTGTAAAGATGTTCTGTTTTGGATTCATTGCTACATTCTCCAGGTGTTTGTCGTTGTGCCCACCCCAGTATCTCACTGATCACAGCGCTGTCAGCCCACCCTGACCGCTGACTGCAGATAGCTCATCCCTACAGAATGGAAGCCTGCGTTAGTTGGTGATAATAATCACTAATTACACTGACAAGTCCAGATTATGAGAGAAGGCTTTTGTAAGGGTTGTGATTGAAGGCAGCTGTTTGTCTTTCTCTTTGCAGGCCTGTCTGTCAGACAAATTACAGTATAGTGCAGATCTGAGCCCATCTGCAGGATAGGAGCATGCACACCAGTGCACATAGCAGTAGTATTTTAGCAGTACTTTAGCTCAGGCTGGTCTCTTCTGGCTGTTTCTAAAACTAACCTCAAGTCAACAGGTGACTGGGCTTTCTGGGTCAGGTTCCCTCAGCTCTGGTACTCTCCGACCTGAGACCTGCAGAATCGGGGACTTCTTAAATCAGCCCTTTACTAATATCTTTGTTTATTTTACTGCATGATTTGGTTTCATTTTTATTTTGCTGAATGTTATTAATACTAATATTATTATTAATGATCTTTAAGGGGAAGGCCAGCAATGTGTGTATATATGTTTTTGTTTCAATGTGAATAATGCCACACACACAGACACACACTGACGCTGTGTTTTGTTTCTTTGTGGGGACTTTACATTGACTTACATTCATTTCCTGTAGACTTCTCCTAACCTTAACCATAACCACTACTTGCCTAACACCTAACCTTAAACCATGTTGCCACCCTAAAATTCAGTGAGCCAAGTCTCACACACAGCTGTCTAGTTTCACCTTTTTTGCTTGTGCTTATTTGAGAACACAAACCACCTTGCTCACAAAGTGAACATTAAACAAGGTCACTAGTGCTGCTTGTCATTATTCTGTAGATTCATCCAACCTGATCTGTGATCACTGAGTCAAATCATTTAAGTGAAATGGCTCCATACCTGACTCCTGGTTTTCATGTTTCAGGTAGAGTGGTTCCATCTTGAAAGCTCCTATAATATCAGCTCTCTTCTTCACCCTATTGTTGGGTGTTGACAAGCAGAAAACATCATAACACCAAATTTTAGCAGACCAGTTAAGCCTTCAAAAAAAAAAAAAAAAAAGAAAAACTGATATATTCCACATGTTGTAGAAAATAACAGTTATGAATTATGTTTAGGAAAACATGTAAATGTTTTGATTTTAGTCTTTTAATATAAATTTTACACAATATTGTAGGTTTAGTTCATACTAGGTTAGTGCTCACTGTGTATTTTATATCTGACATGTTACCACATACGGTACCACGTGGTGAGTATGCTTCATTAGACTGATACTGCATTAAATCTCTGTGTAACGGTGTCTTGTATGTAAGACCAAATGCATGAATGTATGTAATGAACTGCAACCATAAATGGCAACTTATAATGAAATGTCTCTTTGGGTAAGTTAAGGGTTAAGTGTGCTCTCCAGAGTGCCCTGCATTGAGCTGAAGAAACTATTGTGGAAGGTAAGTGATTTAAAAAAATGTACATGTGACATTTCACAGTTATTTTGGGGGCTAATGTATATTTATATTTAGTTTTTTGTTTGTTCATTTGTTTGCATCCAGATTTCACTGCTGTATTTTATCTGTATGTATTATCTTAAGTCATTGTTCTTTATGTGCTACACCACACTGTAAAGAGTGCAAGCTTTCACTCAAAGAAAGAGAGATGCCCTCTGTTTAAAGCTGCAAGAACTAGCAATTGTGCTCTGTGTAACTATAACAGATATATAACATAATATCTCAATGGCAACTCGCATTATAGTATGTTAGTAATGACAGACTGATCCAGAGCTGGTGGCAAAAGGTTTTGCGAACCTCTTTCCTTCACACCACAGAAGGATTTGAAACACCTCTGTTTCCGCCTTGTGCAGAGCATGTCCCGTTTTGTTTGCTGCTGACAGAAGGGCCAGATGGAAGGCGTAGCTCTATTTTTACTGTGTAAATGACTGAGGTGCAGATGGATATCACTACTCATTGTTACTTTATGGAACTATGAGTTACTCATGGTAAACTGGTGTCTCTCCTGAAACTGACAAATAAAGAAGATGTTAGATGCTAAAAATAGTGTGTAGATACTGTAGCTCTTTTATTAGAAAGGTCTTTGTGTCACCCGATAGGATAATGACATACTCCATAACATACTCTGTACCTTGTATCAGCATAGCTGGATTTTGTGAACAAATGTCAAAGATGAATGCAGAAGCTGTAAAAACTGTAAAACTGTAAAAAACTATTTTAGGCTTACCACATTGCAGAGCAGTCAAAGTTTACTAAAAGCCATTTGTGTGGATTGAAGTTGAAAGAGTCTGCAAACTATAAAAAAAAACAAGAAATAAATATTAGCTGACGTCTCACTAGAATGACAGGTAAAAGGGATGACAAAATGATCATTGTGGCATCATGGCACAGTATCAGTAGCTTTCAGTGAGGCTGTGGACTGCAGCTCTATTTTTTAATCTGATCAGACGCTCAGAGGAAAATTAATTTCAGTGACTGGTCATAAAACGTTCATTCTCACTGAACAATTGGGGGGAGGGAGGCTGCAAAAAATATTCGCCACAGTACATTTTTATTTACCATAACTGAACTTCCCACTACTCACTTACTATTTCTAAATGCAAGCTTCTCACAACAGTACCATCTAGACTAAAGCAGCTACAGCTTGTTTGAAATGCAAAAGAGTAACGCTGAGCCAACAGCTCACATAGCGCACGATAAATAACCCTTTCCTGGCAGGGTTTATTCAAAGAGAAACAAATATTTCCTAATCTGTTGTCATCTTTATGTTGGCTATCTTTTGCAATATCCTTTTTCACTACCTCCACAAATGCACAGCGTAGAGAGACAATGTGAGACAGACTCTGGGACTGACAGTTGCCATGCTGACTGATTCAAAGGGGCTGGTTGCCTGCTTGCCTATCACTCATATCCTAGCAACCAACCCCTCAGCAAGGCTGTTCTCTCATCCAGGCTCCTTTTTCATGTCTTTGTCAACTAAATTTCATTGACGTCACAATGCTTCAAAGTTATATCATAACTTCCGTACAATTATGAATTATACTACTGGGAAGAATTGTTGTTACTGTACATTGCCAATAATTAGTTTTACAGCTGTCAATAGGAGAAAAGATGAAACAATAGTTGTTCCTTTTACAGTCAAGTCTGTTTTCACTGTCTCGCAACATTGTTTGAACTTGTGTGTGTCTAATAAACAGTGATATATAAAGGTCTAATGTTGCCTCAGGAAATTACTCTGTCCTTATCTCTGCGTCTCTGCACAGCTTGGGAAGCCACAGCTGCTCGGCAGCCTAAGAAGACAGATTCATGTTCTTGCGTCTCATGCCGATTGTTTGGCCTTTTAGTCACTCCTTGACATTACGGTTATGCCATTTTCAAACAGAAATAAAGCAGCTGGATATAATCAGCATGGATTTAATGTTTGCTTTCATAAATGTTATGGGAGATATTTCATAAGCAGTTGAATAGAAATAGGTCCCTGTGTCATTCAGTGCCAACTTCATTTATGCAGGTGGAGGCCCACTTCCAGCTTTTGACCACACTTAAATCACATTAAATCCATCCTATGCAGCCAATATTCAAATCCTATTATGCCATTTTTCTCATGAGAATTATTACTGATCATCAAATTTGCTAAGAAGCTAAAACATTATTACCAAAACTCGGTTACTAAGTGTTATATTATTTATTTACTGACCACATATATGAACATAGTTGTCTGCATATTTTATGTACCTCAACGCCATTCAACAAAGGCCTAAATTCAGGACAGATAAATGCACTTCCAGCATATGCCGCATCAATGTGCATCCACATATTTTCCTCATTACCTAGGACAGACAAGAAACAGAAAGATTATTTAAATCCACTTGTGTCAGTCAGTCATCTGAAAACCTGACTGCACTAGACACCACTCTGGGAGCGCAAACCTTCGCCAAAGCAGTTCTATTTCCCTGCCATTCCACCTTAAATCAATATTCCCATGACAGTTTGACCCTCATAATATAATTCCTTGACCACAAAAAGCCCAACCCTAGCATTTGGAATCACATTGATATTACTATTAGCTTGAAAGTTCTTCAAGAAAAAAAAAATTCAATAATAAGATTTAGCTTTGTAACTTTTGAAGATGCATCAAATGTGTTGATGCCCTATTGAATCAGCAGAGTTTTAGCTACAATTTCATCTTAGCTGCAAGTCTGTAGCATTATTTGTTGTCTCACAGCAGCGAGTTTTCTGTGAGCCTTATAAATTTGAACATTCTGGATCAGCAGATCTATTACATAGATCCAGATCAGACAGTGTGTGGGCAGTCACCAGCCATATCAACCTCACAACTGTTTGATTGTTTGTGGTGACTTGTTGCTTTTCTTCTTTTGTCTCTCTATCCACTCACCCCAACCGGTCGAGGCAGAAGGCTGCCCACCAAGAGCCGGGGTCTGTTGGAGGTTTCTTCTGTTGAAGGGAGTTTTTCCTCCCCACTGTTGCCACGTGCTTGTTCAGGGGGGATTTGTTGGGGGTTTTCCTTTATAATAATAATAATAGTAAGGTCCAGACCTTACTTTGTCAAGTGTCCTGAGATGACTTTTGTTTGGTGCTATACAAATAAAAGTGAATTGATTTGAAATTGAACTGAATCTTATATGGATGTTATCCTATTTTTTGTCCAAGCAATAGAGGCATTCTATATGGACTTTCTAAGTCCATATAGAACTAAAGACTATTGAAATTGGCCCTATCTCAAAATGGTGAAGACTCTTTAAGAAATTTCTGGATCTGGATGATGATTTGGATCAGCACCAACATCTAATGAATTATTCCGTGGGCTGTAACCTATAGTACCTCTCCCAGAAATTTCATCAAAATGTTATGATGTGAACAAACAAACCAACAAACACTGGTATAAACATAACCTTGGAACCTTTTAAAAATTTTTACACATGCACATAATTTTACACATATTCAACCTGTGTACGTACTTGGATTTATGAGGAGTTTCTTACATCCTAGCTTCTTATTGAGCTGGATTCCCTTCCAAACATCTTGGCTCTTCTTTATTAGCTTGTAAAGCTAATAAAGCATATACTGTATACGAACTGTATATAAGTGTTGTTAGGCTAAAAAAGCCAGTAGACAAGGACAATACCTTTCATATTATGGAACAAATATAAACGAATAAAAAAATCAAGTGTGTGCTGCCGCAACAGCTGACTCACATATGGGCCCCAGCGTGATGATGTCATCAAAAGCGCATGATGGAGTGGTGCCAAGAGTCGCACAGAACTGAAACACACAGAGATACAAATAAAGGCCCTGGAGTGCTTGGCTACCTGTGCCAGTTTGCATTTTCACTGTCACAACAATAACAGGTCAAAATCATTTTGTAACTAGAAGATGAAATACAGCTGTAACTCACTGTTTTTATAAAAGTATTTATATCACTGTCTTATTTAATTACATCCAGCTCTGGCCAGTTTGGACACACAGATTATTCAGTGCTCTGGACCACTGCAGCCACCTGAATATTGTACACTGATGGTGATCTGTAGGTCCAGATGAGACAGACATTATTGTCCTTAAGCAGATAGATTAGGTTACACTGGGTTCTACAAAAACAATGTTATCCTTCAACAGAAGCCCCGGGATGTGCACAGCAGCATCACAGCCAACTTCAGTGTGTGGTTGTGCAGCTAGTAGTAAGGTTTACATGTGTAGCAACAGGAATCCAATGGCAGACGTGTGAAACCCAGTGGACGTATTATTAATATTTAATGTACTAAGTGTGTCGTATTAGCTCAGGGATTTTTGTTGTTGTTGTTGTTGTTGTTGTTGTTTCTTACATAGAATGGGATGAGTCCAGCTGCTCTGTCCTCCTCCACCATTTTCTTGAGCATATCCCCTGTGACAGCATAGCTTTTGTCTGTAGGAACCTTCCTCATCATAACCCCTCCAATCAGAGCAGCACGCTCCACCGAAGAATGAGCCTGGGAGGAAAGAGATACAGCCTTGTGAGAATGTTAACCATGTTGACCGATCACAATGTTGAATCCCTTCTGTCTCTCTTAACAGCTAGTTTTATGTTTATGGATACAGATACATAGCTATTAAATCATTTTATAAGGCAAAGTTATTTGTTCAGTCAGAATAGAATAGTGAAATAGTGTTTGTTTCAAACCTCATAAATCTAAATGCTGTTTGATAATGACTGGTGTTAAGATTCATTGTCAAATACAGTATTACAGTACAATAAATGTTAAATACAAGTATTGAAATTTAAACAAATATACCCTGCCACTTTGGTTAAAATACTTCAATTATGCAAGAATAAGAGTACAAATTATATGTTGATTAAAATTGTTGCTGATAATCTACAATAAATTATCAAAAAGATATACAGAACATGCATACCTTAGACAGGTATTCCCAAAAACTGAACAGTGTTCTTCCTTGGAGAAACAACTAACTCATCTCCCTGAAAAGGTCTGTGTGGCCCTCAGGCGACTCCCTAACTCAATCACAAAGTCAGCCTGGTATTAAACCTGATCAGGGCTAGATCCTGTCTGACCAAGCGTCTGTCTCACTCTGTCACTGAACAACGCTTTCACAGTACTGAGGTGACCTTTATTGATCTGTGCTCATATGGACTGCTCTTAAGTGAGACCATTTACAAAATCATCATATTTGTAAAAGAGTTTTAAATACATAATTTCTTGTGTTTTGTTTCCTGACTGAAATCACTGGCTGTTCAATAATGTTAGGTGTCTGCTGTCAATTTATTGTTCACATGTGGATTTTATATAAACTTTACTGAGGTACCTTGGTGAGCAAGCAGTGTTAAATAAAGCCACTGTGATTTATTAAGGCTTTCTTTAAAAAAAAAATCCCCTATATAATCCCCTAATAGCTACAAAGTAAACAAATGTGTAGGTTTGGGTAAATAAAAGTTTAAGCTTAATCTTAAATCAGAAATTAGTAAAACTGGAAATATCTTTTTGCGCTTACCTGCTCAGAGGTATATGCCACCAGTTTGGAGACGATTTCAGCCTCGGATATTTTAGCGTTAGAGACTTGAACTTGTCGGACTGTTTTACAACGGGCAGCGAGCAAGGACATCAGGGTCGCCTCACTGGCTGTACCCTATTGGAAAAATAGAGGAGCTTTATGAAGTAATGCACCACAGCTGTTGATTTTATATCGGAGTTGAATGTTACCTGTATGTGCAATAAAAAATGTAAAAACAATCTAACTGGATTATTCCAGGAACAGCCCTTGGGTTTGGCAATGGATTTTTGGGTTGTGCTACCAGTTCAAACAGTTCTGTTTCATCTACCAGCTACAGTACCAGCTAGCTGGTTGGAACAACTTTATCTAGACATATGGATTAATTTGTGTACTTCTGCATACACACACAAACACATATCTATTGGCATTTTGAGATTTGAATGCTATAAGACCTCCACATCTTTATTACTGAAGAAAGTGATTGTATTGAGGAATTGTGTCATGAGGCATCATCCATCCAATTGTTTGAGTCTACATAATGAAGCATGACATCTGATGTATCAGGGACATTATCACAAGAAAGTCAATCAAATGGTCACATCATTCAATCAATAAACACAAATTACTCACCAAACAAGCAGCCTAATATAGATTGTGTCATTTGGGTCAAAACAAATTCTGAGAGTAAAATTATACTCAATCTATAAGAGGTCAGGGATCCACAGAAGACATGAATCAGTCAACCAATCCATCAAATGAATGTGATTATCAGGGTGCTAGCTCTAAGAAATTAAACCAAATTTTAAAACAGGCATTTCAAACTGACAGCAAAAGCAAACCACACTCTTCCAAACGTACCCAAATGTATTTCCTGCCCCTTCCCTACTTACATAACACACTAACACACTGAGCACTACTATGTAATGTGAAAGAGTAAAGTAGCCTTTGAACCTACACATACAATTGTCATCTACTCTACCACCAATAAAAGCGTAATAGT